CTTCATTGTGATAGCCACAGTGCTTTATACTTGACTGCGAACCAAGTCATGGATAGCAAAGTGAAGCACATTGACATCAGGTATCACTTTATTAGACAAGCAGTGTCCGATAAAACAATTGATTTAGTCAAGATTGACAGTAAACTCAATCCTGTTGATGCATTGACCAAAGTTATCCTTAGGAGAGTTTCATGCAACATTATGTTACTATGCAAGATATGCATAAGAATCACAAGAGATATGGTTTTTAGTTACCTCTGTATATTATTATTCTATATTTTTATGGCTACAGCTTAGTTTTAGTTAACTCTCGTTTAAAGAGGAACCTTGTGGTAGGTTTCCGTCTAGAACTTCCCGCGGAAAAATAATATAGGTTCGAGCGATGACTGAGATGCCTTAACATGAGTTAAGGTGAGATTGTTGAGTTAACTCTATATATTATTACTCTATCTTGGTATGAGAGTAATTATATAGGTTAGAGAGGTGACTGAAATTCTTGATATGAGTTAAGGTGAGATTGTTGAGTTACTTCTATATATTATTACTCTATCTTGGTATAAGAGTAATAATATAGGTTAGAGATGTGACTGAAATTCTTTGACATGAGTTAAAATGAGATTGATGAGTTACCTCTATATATTATTACTTTATCTTGGTATGAGAGTAATGATATAAGTTAGAGAGGTGACTGAAATTCCTTGACAAGAGTTAATGTGAGATTGATGAGTTACCTGTATATATTATTACTCTATCTTGGTATGAGAGTAACGATATAGGTTAGAGAGGTGACTGAAATTCCTTGACAAGAGTTAAGGTGAGATTGATGAGTTAACTCAATATATTATTACTATAACTTGGTATAAGAGTAATTATATAGGTTAGAGAGTTGACTAAAATTCCTTCACATGAGTTAAGGTGAGATTGGTGAATTAATTCTATATATTATTACTCTATCATATTATGGTTACGGCTTAGTTTTAGTTAACTCTCGTTTAAAGAGGGACCTTCGGTCAGGATTCCATCTAGAACTTCCCACTGAATAATAATATAGGTTAGAGAGGTTACTAAGATTCTTTAACGCGAGTTAAGGGGTAGATTGTTAAGGTTAACTCTAGTTAAGGAGTTAACTGAAGTTAACCGCATATGTAGCTATTTATAGCTTAGAGTGGTTGATTATCTTGGGTATATAAACCCTGAGGATGATAAGAAGTTTCTCACTTCAAGTAGTAAACTTTCTCGGGCGTATTCCTTCGTGGACGTGAATCACGTTATACTTGTGTCTTCTGTGTTTATCGTATTGTTAGTTTGCTCAATCTGAGATTTACCGTTATAACTTGAAGAGTTCTATCTTATGAAATTATGTATACCTATAAACTTATTGTTGATAAGATTATTTTTTAAGAGTTCGAATTATTGAATTGTAATTTTTGAACTTAATTTCACTGTGAAAAAAAGCATATTTTTTGGTTTTTCATCATGATTCATAAAATTGAAATTTTAGTTACACTTCCGCATCCAATCAACCTTTCATAAAATCTTTTCACTTTTCATTCAACACAAATTTTCATTTATTTTCCAAGACAAATTGAAAATCTAAATCTTTTATTGAGAAAACAAATAAACATCGAAAGATATTTTCAAATTCATTCGAGAGTATTTTCTCTAAATCTTTATATATAGTATTTACAAAATTTTCATAATAACTCTTGATAATAATCATTCAACTCATTTTCACTAAGATTAATATTTTTAAATTAATCAATTTGCATGAAAAATATTACACATCAACATACCACTGATATAATTTTTTTTTTAAAGCTTTTCATTCTTCATTTGAGGTGGCAAGATGACATTGTAACCTTGAATATTTAAGATCATAAGTCTGCCATTAATTCAATGTCTAGATTTAAAATCATTAATGAAAAATTAATGATTTAGTCAAATCAATCCAAATTAATATGTGATTTTTATTTTGTTTCAATAAATTTTAATCTTTGATCAAATATAATATAATAATGTTGATTCATAACTTTTAAAAATATTTTAATTAATTTTTATAGTATATTTTTTATAATTAACAATAATCATAACTAATACACTTAATCATGATTGAATTCATTATGATTAAATCTTTGAATAACTTTTCATTTAATACATCTATATAATTACACATTTTATAGTGAAACAAAAAAAAATTTAATCAAAAAATTGTTGAGAATATGATTTATCATAATGATTTAATGAGGGAATAGAAAAAAAATTAAAAAATCTGCTAGTTGCAAACATTAAATTAATATATTTAATGATAAAAATAAATCAAAAATTTCTATTAAAGAATCATCAGTATAGCATCTACAATGTATGTTATGAACTAATTCACTTATTCTTGAAAATTGTGATATTGAAACTTAGAATGATGATGTTCATGCATTGGTTTTGAAAGAAAAAAAACTTGTTGCTATAAATAACTGAAGAATCTATCAATAAGCTTGAATGCAAAAATTTTACAAAGCTTAAGATGAAATTGTCAATTGATAATGAGACATAAAAGCTATTGAAGTTTTTTTTAAATCAATCTTTGATTAATAGCAAATAAATATACAAGCTGGAATTCAATTTTACACATGATCAATACAAATCTTTGAAATCAAATTGATCACATCAATGAAAGATGTGGATTAAAAAAATAATTTTCATGTGTAGCAAAATGTTATAATTTGATTCATATGTATATTTGTTGCGATATTTAGTTTATTTATTACTCTAGTGCATGTGATAATAGTATTTTTTTCAAAAATCTTCAAATGTAAAAAATTCTACGTGTTGGTTTTGATCAAAAAGATTAGTAAAAGTTACTTTGTAGATTGAAAAAAAACTATGAATTGAAGTCAATTTATAAACAGTCAAATGCACAATTTGATGAATTCATAGCAATTATATTTATAAAATGTGTATGATCCGTGCATATGCATGAATAAGGTAATTATTGAAAATTTTAATCTCATCATTTTAGTATCTATATGATGGCATGTTCAAATGATCAATTTAATATTAATAGATACAAGGATCAATTAAAATCTGCATTCAAAATGAAAGATTTGGATAAATTCAAGAAGATATTAAGTATATTAGCTCATAAGGATTTGAAGAAAAAAATTTATGGCGAAAAAAAGTCAAGTATATTGAATGTGTGCTTGATAGATTTGAAATAGTATATTTTTAAATAGTTGCTACTTTTCTTTGGCAACATATTTCAAGCTTTTTGAATCTCAATGTCATTAATAATTAACAAATGTCATCAATTTTTTATGCCAAGACATAGCCTCATGTATTTCATCATATGAATTTAATTTAATTTTGCTCTAGTTTTATGCAAAGTAAAAAATTCCAAAACATATAAGTTGAAAAGTTTTTAAATGGATTTTAATATATTTCAAAGTATTTTTTTATATCTTTTGTTTGATCATTTATCAATATATGCCAAATTGTTTGTTATTCTATGTAAATGTTATGGTCAATATCTAAACAAGAGAATAATTACAAGTAGATATGTATTTACATTTGGTAATAAACACATTAGTTAGAAATCTGTTACGTAGAAATAAATACTTATGTCAACAACAAAAGTCAAATATGTAACCTCAACAAAAATAACAAAGATTGAATAGACTTATTATGATTGAGATAAAATATTTTCAATCTTCATTATAATAATAAAAATGCATCACATTTTTCCACAAAGTAAAACATGGTAGCAAAATGAAACATAGTGACATCAAATATCATTTTATTATAGAAACAAATTTTAATAAAATTTTGACATTATCGAGATTGACAGAAACAAAATCTAGTTAATGCATTCATTATGATACCTTGCAGGTTTTGTATACAGAGCATGATAGAGTTTAGTGGTGACTTTTCAATTTATTTAGCATGTTATGTTCAAGAATTAATCCTAATTTATAACCAGATCTATGTCAAATTTTATCCAGAATTTTCAAGACATGAGTTATAAAGAGATTATTAGAAATTAACTCAAGTCTTGATTTATTTCTTGTTAGTTTTGTCTTAGCTAATGTAATAGTCTGTCACCTCCGAACTTTTAGTGAGAAAATTCTGAATTGTTTCCAAGTAGATATCTAAAATGGCTAACCATGTAACCATGTATTTCTCCATGTTGGTTGTTTGCTTGTGTACGTTTTTACAATGAAAAAATAAAATTCAATTATGTTTCATTTTACATTTATTATTGATGATAAAAACATTTAATTTCAATAGATATTCTGAAGTACTTTATTTTATAATAATTCAAATTTATCTATTCGATTAAATTAATTGGAATTACGAAAAAAATTGAGTTAAAGGTTTTCTTAGTTACACAAACTAAAGCATTCTATGCAAAAGTTTTGATTGTTAGAAATAAAATTGTGAATTATAAATAATACTATGAGTTAATTATACTGACAGAATTATTGCTACAAGATAATTAATAAAACATATGCTTGCTCTTCAATACTACATTTGCATTTACATTTCCTGGAGATATTTTGGATAAAATTAAAGTCTTAATTATTAAGGAAAAAATTTCTAAGTCAACAACGTTCAAATGTAAAATGAATTGAAATTTGAAACATGATATATCTTATAAAAACGGAAACTTTGAAATAACATTTTAAGTACTACTTTATATTCTTATATATATATATATATATATATATCACATTCGCAGTCGAGAAAGACATGGAGGATACAGCTGAGACAAATTTCTTCCAACGTTAAACAATGTGGATTTTGTGTGGTTTTGAAACGCGGGCGTTGTATACATGTTTATGCTAAACGATAATGGCGTACATGATGCATTTCTATTTCTATCCACGATATGGTTGTTTGATTGTGACGCAGTTTATAAACTAGTAGATGTGTGCCAAAAGAAATAATGCCAGTTGGCCACGAGCACGAATGTTCCATTGACCCAAGATAGATGACTGCAAGTTTTCGAGTCAAATCCAGAATCAAAAATTTTATACAAAGATAAATGTCGTTGGGCAACGGTCGGCCCTTCAGTCAGCAAGTAACCTCTCCTATATATACAACTTGATATCACAGCTTACATGATCGATGTGAGTCAGACTTTGCCTCAAGTCTATCACCTAGCCAGAAAAGACTCAGTAAACACGAAGAAAGAAGAAGTCAAGAGTCTAGAATTAGGATTTCATTTTCATTTTCGTTCGTGGATTTTTTGAGCAACCGGGAGGCTTGAGCAGATGCTCTCTCCATCCAGCATCGCCTGGTTGCACAGTGTGGTGGCATAGAGGACAACGGTAAGCCTTGTGATGCTTCCCATGACGGCACTCTTTGCTTCTGAGATGAGATGTCAATCTGACTTCAGGAACCGCTTGTGAGCATTTCAAGCACTGTACATACCTGCATACATAACCAAAACCTACTATATCTGAGTCGATGGAAATTCATATCTTCCTGAATCAGACTACTGTTGGTGCTGATTATCGATTATCTCAGACTATGAACAGCAAAAGTCTTGAAATCGAGCAAGTCAATTTCTTCTTAGGTGTTAAGCTATGCCTGTCTCCTGTATACGGATGTGATAAGGTCATTAGCTGCCAAGGTAATCAAGAATATCTACTTCTTAGAAAGAAATTGAATTCATCTACTGAAGATACATCTTGAACACCGATTCTATTTCTCCATTTTGTTGATCCATGACAGACAGGTTTGTAAGGACTGGAAGTCTTACCTTCTTCCGGATGTGCACTCATACAGGTAGTGCTCTTTCAGGGCAGCAATCTCTACAATCTGCTTACAGTTTCCACAACCAACAAGCATTGGACATCTCTGGCAGAAGTGTAAGTCTAAAGTATCTCCATTCAGAAAAGACGGGTCTTGCTTTCCACAAAACAGGCACTGGTCTGCCCAGTCGTCCTTTTCTGCTTGCATCTGGACTTCGTCATTCCCCTGTAGCCAGAGCCACCATTAATTGTACATTTCGCTCCAAGATGCAAGTTGTATATGTGCTTTACTGGTGAGATCTTGAAAGAAAGCCATGTCCAAGACTCATACTAAGCATGATTTCTACAAAAAACTATATCACGCTTCCAAAAGTCTTGATGAACAACATAGCATAATACATTCAATTAGTGTGTCATTCATTGTGTCTTTCTATTTGTAAATTTCTGACTAACAGCGCTGGTGTCACACACCCGTTGAGGTCATACTTACGACAAACTTACTAAAGAATATGAGAGTGCTAAATATGAAAAACTTTGAATTGATCTGCAGAAGTTTGCAGATCAAGTCCCTGAAAATCTTTGAAATAAAACTTTGATTGTTTGTAAATCTTCGATGAAGAAAGCAAGAAAAAATTGGACATTTGAGCTCACCACTTCCAGATTATTTCGCCGCCATGTGGACCCTTTTGAGCAATTTGCTAAATAATCAGTAGGTGTAATTTTGACTAAGTTTCAGAATGTACAACTGAGGAAATTACGAGCAGACCATTTGATTTTCAAAATTGAAATATGTCACATCTATTTTCACAACATTCCTAGTCCGAATGCACCAGAAATTCGACAGTGGCCAAATCTGCTTCTTCAACATTTTGTTTATTTACATCTTACAGTTTTTAATGTGTGACAAGTCAGGATGGCCGAGTGGTCTAAGGCGCCCGACTCAAGTTCGGGTCTCGTGAGAGGCGTGGGTTCAAATCCCACTTCTGACAGACTTGCGTCGAATTCTTTTGTTGTATATTGGAGTCTCTCATCACGGTCTCTTCAGGAGTATGGGGATTCAGCATTGTTGCCTGCTTGACATGCGAATTGTTCGGAACTATTTGATGGTATGATTATTGCGGAGCCATGTGTTCGGAACTCTATGATGATGAAATTTGTGATTCAGGTGATTTGTTCTCATGAGTGAGGTTTTCACATTTACAAATCGAGAATTGACGTTGTGATGTTTATTAAAAGATTTGCTGATTTGCTGATTTCTCAACCCCACGGTTAGGCATGCCCAGGCATGTCACGACGCTTAAGAGTATCAGGAGTGTAGAACACTGCAATATCTAATAAAGAACATGTAAATTTCGACACTGAGCCTTGCGTGTTCTCCCACTAACTTTGTTACACATATGTTCTCGCGTGAGTTGGTATTAGACACATCGGGAAAAATTTTATGAAAATCTTACAACTTGCGTAACTTCTAAGCGCAGGGCAGACCCAAGTTGAACATGCCCGAAGAGTACTTATAACTAAGCCCGAAAATTAATGTATAAATGGCCCCTGAGTTCGACGGGCCTAAGGCCGGACCTTGTTTTGTCGGACAACCAAAAACCAAAAAACAGTCCGACAGGGCCCGGGACTGTCAGACAAAAAAGGGGAAAAAAAATCGTACATTCCACTGATCGCACTCCTTCAGTTTATTTATCTAACCCGTACAAACCTTTCGAGGGAGGACTGACACAATTAACTAGAACCTTAATAGAAGATAATATAGTTGCTGATGTAGTTATTCCAAATTTATTCATCTATTTTTTCTTCCATATTCCAAGTCTGCTTGATAATTATACGAGTGGTTGATGATTGTTGTGATGGAGACTTACTTGGGCTGTTTCAGTATGGGAAGCATATGACGCTTCTGTATCAGCTTCTAACCAAGGTGACTGATCGGATGCTCGCAATGTCGTCAAGACCACCTCTTCTGCACTCCCCTCCTCGCCACATGACTGCACATGCTTCCATTCATGAGAAAATTACGTTATAAAGACAACATTGTGAATAGATTTGCAGCCTATTTTTACTAAGCTTTCTGAGCCAGATGGGCATAGATGTCTAATTCATGCAAAAAAATCTCCTATATATCCTCCTTTAAAAAACATTTCTTTGTTCAGTTCTTTCGACATGAACTCAGATCTGTGAATGAGGACAAGACCGAGTTCACGGTAGGAGCATTTGCTTGGTTTGAATACATGTGCTGGTCGTCATGACCATTAGAAAGCCGTTCCTGCTGATCAACAACCATCGAATGTAGCCCCGTGTCTCTGGGTTTCTTCACGGCTGGTTCCATGGGATGCGAGTCCACGTCAGACATCAAGGAAGTTGTCTTCTGTGACCTTCTGATTATGGGTATGTTATCCAACTCCTCATAAGTTAGCGGGTTGCAATCATCCAGAGTTCGAGTATCCATTGCAAACCTCTGGAAACTATTCAATAGCACCTGCAGAAAATCGTAGTTTTTGAGTCTTTTCTTAAGAATGCCACTGATCAACTTAACTTTCAGTGAAAATTATGGCAGAAGAAGAGTGGATTCAAGGATGCAGGGAGATAGATTATTTGGTTGTTGATAGAAGCCTTCTTGTGTTTAAAATAGGTACCCGTTGTTAAGAAGGAGTCTCAAATCCATTTTACCATTAAAGCCCAGACCAGCATCATTCCAACTCTTGTCTACAGGTAAGAATTAGCTTGTCAAAGAGTCGAATCGTTTTCGTGATATACGATTGAGCAAAATATATGTATTACATCAAGCTTACACATTCGACAAACTTGTGGAGAATTCAGAATTCCATCACCAGATCTACACCGTTTTCGACCATCCACAGAGGTGACGCCTCATAAACTAACAGTTCAGACAAATGGTGTCATCAAACTAAAACAACTTTAACCTGAAAAGATGGATAGATGAGAATATTGTGATACGGGATAATGTTCATACAACAATGTGCCATTAATATTACCTCTCGTATAATTGGCTTTATTCCTTTCAGATATCTTTCCACAGTAGCTCCCATCAATTTATACACCTCGGTAGTCACCTTCACTGCTGCATTTCTAACTTCTCCGTTGGGACTGGTAAACGCTTGGTGGACAAAAGACATCAAGACCTCTGACATAAATCCCGTCTTGCTGTTGGGCTGCACTCCAAACACTGGTATTGCAGCCAATAACCACTGCAAGCGACCAAATACTGGCCTCCAAATGGACTGCACAGGACACGAAGTAAAAGTCAAGACTGCTCTATCCGTCAAGCATCGTCTCAGGGAGGTTTAACTCACAATGTGCGTTCAATACAGATACAAAGTTTCCAAGATCTTGACATCTTTACCTGACTCTTCGGCGTCTTCAGCATATGATGGGCCACAATATGCAGGCCAACTTCTCGTTTGGAGGCCAGGAATGTGAGCGTCTCGGAGGCTGCATCTCTTATACGAACATTCGATTCTCCCAATTTATCAAGAAGAATGGTTACAAACGCAGCTACACTATGCTGAATTTCTCTGGGTGTAACCTCCCCAGAGTACTTTGTAACGTATTCTTTCAGTAGCTGCACAGCCGCAAACAAGCTCAGAGGGAAGATCGTCTCAAATCGTTGTTTACAATTTCACAAGGGACGAGCAAATTATCTGTCACTCGGAAAGTGTTAGGACACGGTGTGTAGGTCACCAGGAAGTAGCGAAGGAATTTACCTCCTACCAGCTTCCAGTCAATAAAGACAAGGAACGGATAGTTTAGTTCGATAGGAAAGGTATTCTAGATAGGATAGTTCTATTCGTTATATAAACAATAAGAAAGATTCTGTTTCATGTTCAGATAATAGTGACCCTTAGATAAAATGTTCAGACAAAGCTAGATATTGAGATAAAGCAAAAAACAAAAAAACTCCTCACTATAGATGGTGATGGAAATGAAAGGTAAGAAGGAACTCATTACTACGGGACATCTAGTGTGTGGACTGTAAGAATCGTTCTGTTCCTTATATACTGGTTCCGTAATGTTCCTAAATGTGCAGTTGGTATCTTAGAAACTACAGGTTGGGGAAATACATGGAGTGAACCGTAGTAGATATTGGGCACCCTGTCATTGATTGCTCGAAGCACAACAAGGTCCAAAAGTCTAGCAAACCACAAACATGTAAGTTTGAACTCATGGGCAATCTTTGTTTGAAGAAGACTCAATCGATCAAGTACTTGATTGACAGAACTCATTCAGCTCAATACAATCAAGCTAATAATCTGGGAGAACTAGGCAAAAGTCCACCAACATACTGGGAGTCTGCACAATTGAGAAACTCACACTAAATGCCAGTTCAAGGAACAATAAAGAACAGTGTTTCAGGTACAAAGTGCGAAATAGTGAAACAAAAGGCTAGGATAATGTAGCATCATACTAGGAGTGCTTAATGCTACTGCACACGAGTTTTCCTTCTTGAGTTGAGTAGCTATAGTCCAGAAGAAGAACGGTTGCTGCTTACTTTAGGTTAGATGAAGGGTCACCAGTGATACCCCTGGATTGAAGCAATTTCACAATGTGCTGCAGCGCTTTATCCCGCAGCTGCCACTGCTTACTACAAAGGCATTCTACGTAATATAAGTCGAGGATGCCCAATAAAGGGCCCATTTCACCCCTCAAAGCGTCAGTAAGAGGCTCTGGTACACTAGTATCGTGATCGTGTGTTGTCTGTGAGCCATTTTGTTCAGGGACTGAGCCAGAAAAAGGGAAATTATGTAAAGCTGCTTTGGGTTCTGGTTCGATATTTGCTGCAATCAAAAGATTCCACATACAGGCATAAAAGTCCAGCTCGCTTCAGTTAAGCCAAAGTTATTGCACCCACAGTACAGCAATAGTTCTCTAACTGACCAAGAATTTTAAGCACTAGTTCTCAAGTTTACAGCAGTTTCCTGTAACATGAATCTGTGAAACTCAAAATATTCCAGGTATGTAATTGTGCGGAACACCAACAAAGAGTACAAAATTACAATGGATTACGAGGATCTTCTGCTGACCAAATTTAGGGTGCGGGTCGACTGGAGGATGTAGATCCCCATTATGCTGGCCGGATTTCTCGTACTGGTCAGTAGAGGAATGCAGAGTAGATAGTTGTTGATGCCCAGTCTTGTAATGATCGTCCACTGGAGAGTCCACTATGGTACTATGATTAGCAATCTTTCCAGAATAATCCAAAGGAGGATACGTTGAGGCACTCTGCTGAAAGGGCTCCGCATGGGGATGTATCACACCAATCTGCTGATCAGGTTTTCCAAAGTTTTGTTCCTCAGGAGGATGAGTTGTTGCCTGGTTACTAAAGCTCGCATACTGTTCAACGTGAGCTAAATGGAGGGATGCAGTTTTCTGGGTACCATTGCTTGCGTGAATATCGGCATGAGGAAGATGGAGGGTTGTATTTTTCTGCTGACTAGTACTGGCGTACTGTTGTTCCACTTGAGGGTACAGAGTTATCGGTTTGTGCTGACTGGTGCTTGCATAGTACTCCACATGAGGTGCATGCAAGATAGCAGGTTTCACGTCTTCATCAGAGTGTCGCAACACTTCTTTTCCTTTCCACCAAGGAAAGACGGTAGAGAGCACTCCTGATCGTTTCTCTCCAGCTTGAATCGTCGGAATAGAATCTTTGGGCAAGTCCACGTGTACGCATTCAAGGATCCATGTTTAAGCTATGGTATTCATGCAGAGCAACTCTTAAGAAAATGAAAAGCACATTTGGATGATGTGGGTTGAGTGAGTCTAAATTGGTAGAGACATAGATCAAACTGAAAGTCTGAAAGACAGAAAATTGCATTGGGAGTTTTACATTTCCAATTAAAAATCAGGGTGTCTATTCGTCACAGTTTGAAGAGCTAGTTAAAGTACAGGTGCGCATTCTTCTGCGATTCAAGGATTCCTTTGGATGGAGTGCTGTATATGGACGGAGAAGAAAAATGCTTCTTCATGGATAGCAAGTATCCTTTAAGAATCACTTCTAAAAACTGGACAGGCTTTGATGGCTCACAAAGTCAAATATCTGATATTGATACTAGCTACCTAGAGACCGGCATCACGTTCACTTCTGCCAGAGCTCAGATTGATGATAAGGATGAGGATCAAAATGTATAGAGTACTTTACTTAGAACATCACTCGCTCTATTGACACAATGTTTAAGCTTGTCAAATATAGAACTTTGTCAGTAACATCTGAAAACATGAGTGTACTCAGAATCTTTCTCACTGAATGCGCGGTGCTTTCAAAGAGACAGCAGATGCAAAAACTTTAAGCAGGTTTGTGGACATACTCTGTGGATCACAAGCAGTCTTAGCGCGAACGACTATCTCGTTTGTGGAATTGTCGCCTTCCATGCGCCCACTACGTTTGTCTTCATAGTTCTCTGCTGAGCTGTCCATGACCATCGCTTGATGGTCCATGCTCATGAAGATTTCCTGAGCAATTCCGACTGCTAAATGAGTAAAAAAATATTGGATATGCTTGTATTATATAAATAATCTGATAGATGTCCAAATAAATCAGATAAGCACAATTAAACTCTAGGAATTGCATTGATGTTTGTACTAAGCTAAGTACTTTGTAGTGACGAATGTCAACAGAGACGATATAATGCAAGATCGATAGGTTTTACAAAACAGGACAATCCAACAAGGGAATGAAACCTCGGTTGGCCAAATGAAACCTGTAACTGGCGTGACGTTAGACTTGACTGTTCTCAAGTTACTGTTGAATATAAGGACATGTGTGACATACAAGGACGAGCTTTCGATGGCCAACCTCTCGTGGAAGTATCTTGGGATAGTTGTTATCACTCGTCGAGACATCAGAATGTTTCGATGAGCTGCCATCCAGTACGGCGTAAAAAATCAGTTTTTATATCGGTTCTCTCCCCTCATAAAGCTAAAGTAGCTAGTAAAAAAGATAAATCCTGTCATGTGTTCATCTTTAAAATCTTCTCCGTCAGCCTAAGTCTCGAGCTTTTCAATCGCTCTAGGGTATTTGAAGATTTGATATCCGGCTGACATTTACCTATCTGGGTTCTCACTCACGTAGCTCAAACTGTCCTGTCCGGTTCCATCACACTGTCTCAATCTTTCAATCTCCAGCTGTTCCCATCAAAAACGAACTAAACAGTGTCTTGTATGGTTTTGATAAGGCCTCTCACTTGTCTCCGCACAATCGATTATCAGTGGAAAACATAAGTTTACTGTGTTACATAATCCTCAACTGGTAAGCACTTGAAAGTACCATAGCGACTTGGAGATCACAATATTCTGGGTTTGACTTTTTAGTTATGTATGGGATTGAGGTCATAGAAGTTTACGTGCCAGGGTACCTTGCAAGACTTCGCGGCATCATAATCTTCCATCTCAACAGCAGCTCGTTTTCGTAGCTCAAGTTGTTTGATTTGTTCTCCCAGACCCTTTAGTCTTTCAATCAAGTTCTGTACAATTTACACGACAGTAATGTCTCGATCAATGTATATTACATCACATTTTGTAGAGAGATCGCTCAAACGAGCCAAGAAGAGTCAAACTTATGCTAAATATGTGTCAAAGATAACTGTGAATTGCTATCTAATTATGATACGTAAGGTGTTCAGAACTTACCTTGAGTCGTTTAGCCTCATCGTAATCTTCGTCTTGAACAGCAGTTACTTTCTCCTTCTGAAGCTGCAAGAACAAACCAGTATGGCCTGACTTCACGGAGATGGGCACAATTGTGACCTATTTACTGTTGAAACAGAATCATGTCAGGTCACACAAAGCAGATTCTGAAGTAATTCGCCATCAGAATGAACCACCTTGGACCTCATTCAAAGCGAAAGTTATAGCCGCAGCTTTATGTTAAGTGGCTTGTTACCCTGTGAATACGAGCAGCTGTAAATGAATCTACTGCATGAAGGTTGGCATCAACCACCTTGCTGCTGGGAACCTGTATCCTGTTCATATCAAGTGACAATAATCATTGGTGATCCATTTTCACGTCTAGTAGTAAGAATAACGACTGGGCGATTTTATTTTTCAACAATGTCCAAGTTCATCCAACTTGCCCTTCAATCGAGAGATATCATAGCTTGATTTGGAACACCAAGATGTTCATAAAAATATCTCCAGACTCCACTCCTCCTAATTATGACTACCTTCCTTTCAATTAGCAGTTGTTTCAAAACCTAGAATGTTGAAGCTCTCTGGCTACCTTGGAGTCTGCAGCAGAGGTGAGTAGCCACGTTGCCTGATTTGTAAAAGTTGATGCTCATCGAGAGGTTCACCTGTTATGATCAGGGCCACTAAACCCACCTGACAGAGCAGATAAGTCATAAAGGATCGTGTGCCTGTGCTGTGGAATCAACAATTTTTATTTTTAGTCTTATCACGGCAGTAATGCACCTGGATTGGTTCTTCTATACACACAGAGGCTCTCAGCAAACTCAATTTGCTATTATATGGTTTAATGTATTCAGCTCTTAATGGGTTTGATAAGTGGCTAACCTGGTTATATGCATTGAGCTTATTGTTGTAACAGTTATGAAGGACAAGTCGTATGACTGCTGCTGGTGCATCAACGTGAATACTTTTCAGCTCCCTCGCTTGATGCCCACTCCGATCGTTAGGGTCAAGCGATAGATATCTACGGTCATTTTGAAACATCAGATCCCAATCAGCCGTGTGAGCGATGCGTAACGTGTCAGCAAGATAAATATCCGTTTTGAAGACCAACTGAGTGACAAGAAGGTGGCATATCTCCAGCTTGATTTCTACAGAGACGGATTTGATCAACATTTTGTACATAGCGAATGCTTTCTTTGTTGCAAACTGCAGATTCCCTGTTATGTTCTGGTTCAGCTCCATACTGGGATGTCATACCCAAGGCGCTTCATCTGATTCACAGCCTTCTCGTTGTGGATCCATGGGGTCGTCAGACTGACGAACACCTCTACTTTAGATGGAATCTGCAGCAGCAAAATGAAGAGGTAAGTTGTACTGTAAGATAACATCTACGCTACCATCTATAAGTATCCTTCGAATAGGCAAGTGGCAACTTCCCTGCAATCATGGTGACCTTTCCTCTTCGCAAGCAATTCGATTGCCTCTATGGCATGTTAACCACTGCAGACGCAGTAAATGTCTCCACCCTTAATTGTCAAGTTGGTCAGCACTATCTGAAACTTGCTGATGTACGATTGAAAGAGGCGTAGTTGTGAGAATATAGAAGAAAGACAAATCCACCTTGAATTCATGACAAAGAAGTTGCATGTTAATGATTCGGGATGGTCTCTGAAGTTCCAAAGTGAGCTCCTGTGGGTAGAAGCAAAATCTGCAGACAAATCACAACGGCATCAACTGATAAACAGTATATTCATCACATCAGTATCAAGTACTAAATATAGGTCTTCGACCAGTCTACACGCTTATAGATGTCTACTCTGCCTTGAACTGAAGGTGTGTTGAACCTGTACAAAGTTTACATGTCATTCTTGATAAAAATGATATATAGCGGGAAAGCTTGAATAAGTTCTCATGGCTAGATAGAAATGAGGAGCCTCAAATCCCAAGAATCTGGTCCAAGAAGCAATACATGCTTGGTTATTTGACTCCAACTTGAGCTTCAACAGACAAGGAGTAAAGTGGTCATAATATCATGATAGGAAAGTTTGCTGATGAACTAAGTGTGCTGGAGGCTCTTTTAAAGTAGGACCAGGGAGAGAAACATGAATATGTAAATAGATAATTAAAATTAGACGCATTTGATGACGGAATCAGAAGAATCCTCGCCTTGAACTCTGCCAACCTCGACCTTGAATCCCCTTATTGAGCTCACTGGCAGGATAGTCTTCATCCTGTACCAAGCAATTTTAACCAGTACTTAGAAAAGTATGAGCGCACGGGAGGTAAACGCTATACTGGATATACTGGAGGCACTAGGGTCCATATACAGAAGGAATGGACCTTGACGACCAACAGTCATTGCTAGAAGTTCACCACAGTAATAGAAAAATTGTGCCTGGAATATTATTAGCTTCGATATTTAGCTGCAAGCCTCTGGTGGCTTTTGTGATAGTGAATACTGTAAGCAGGACTCAGGCCGCTTTCATTTTAATAAATGTACTTTAGTCGAGGTGTGGAATGTGATGTTGGAAGACATAAGACTATAGATAGCTATCAGTAAACTTCTGGATCGTGAAGACAATAGAAGTATTCAGATGGACAACGGGCGCTGTTGTCCTTTTCGATCGACACGTTATTAGAGTCGAGAGCCTGAATCCTTTACATGCAGCGTACCTGACCAGAAGAAGTTACGACAGCGAAAGGTAAGCTCCGTCCTCCGCTATTGGCATGCGTAAAGTGATCAATGGAAGCCCCTGGTGTCATAGAAGCCCTTAAGTTAATTATTTTGTTCTCCCCACTGCGCTCTCGTTCTGACGTCCCGTTTTCCATCACGTTCAATAGGCTTTAACCGCAACTTTCGTTCCTGTCAGAACTTGCTTTTCAAAAGACGCTGTCCTGGTCCGCGAAATGTGAGCAGGCTGAAATGTTAGCTTCACGTGCAACGTGACAGATGTTTGAATTCACATCTGTTTACCGATGCTTCGTAAATTGGCCCCGTAAATGAGTCACAGTGGTAAACTTCGCAATTTCGAGAAGAAGCTCGGATTCAGGAAATACCGCTGCACATCGTCATAGCTTATCTTCGGAAAGATTACATAGTCAAGTCAACAACTGAGTCTTCCATCACTTCACAGCAGGACATATTGTCCACCAGTGTAATGCATGGCGCTACACTCGTCGTCACTCGGTAATATTAGCCCTGCGTCTTTTCTGACATCCTGTGTAACCTGCCTCGTGATTTACTAATTCTTGAAAGCCTCGGGGAACTTGCAATGGCGTCCTACCGCAACCGTATCTTCATTCTCGTTCGTAGTGTAATCACGATATTGAGAGTCCAGAGTACTTGCAGGAAAACCACAAGACTGCGGTTCGATGATTTGCAACAAAAAGCGGAAATTCTCAGTATTTTCCGTGGTTTGAATTTCCTGTTTTACGACGTGCCTGGAAGTCCCATTTCCAAATTTCAATTATGCTCCATCACTGCGAGGGGAGAAAACAGGTCGCAAGTCCTCGACAGACCTTTCGCTCGTTGGATAACAAGCTGCCTTCCTAATCGCCTGCAGAAGATTGAAGGCACTCGCGACTAGGCGCCGGCGAGCGCGAGTGTCGTCTTCTTCCTCTCCTTCGAGCGTAGCGACAGGACACAGATGGAGAAGAAGAATGAGACGGGGGACGGGGCGTGGAGGGCGGGGGGGAACAACGGAAGAACAGAAGGCGCTAGAACGCACTACCCTTTCTCTACAACCGTCGTTTTGCCGTCCTCCGTCTTCGTCCGTTTACCCGCGGTCCTTTAATCAATGGTTCGCCCGCCTTTCCTCCATCCTGGATGCAGGCATGCATGCATCCATCATCAGGTTCTACATTGCATGCATGTACACTAGTCTCCCCTGTTACTTTGAACCCTCTGAATACTTAACATTTCCATTTCCAGAACATCATTATATATGTTTCAATGTCCAAGAAATTGAATATCAAATGTTCTTCAAGGAATGAGTAAGATACGTATTTAACATTTTTATTTCCAGATCATCATTTATGTAGAGTTCTAATGTACAAGAAATTGAATACCAAATATTTAAACAATGTAATATCATTTCGAAACTAAAAAAATAGAATACTCCGAACTAAAACGAGTTTGCATATAAAATTAATGATGCATCTAGCAATTAATACACAATTTTCTCAAACCACTCCGGTAGCTAGTGCCAAAGTTTTATTTGGATCTTTGGCATCCCGCCATTACTTTTCTGCGTACTTTCAAGTGATTCCTTCCCCGAACCACCCCCATTTAATAATATGCGTATCATGCACCATATGATACTCCCAAGTGTCACATAATCATTTTTGTGCTAGATGTTTCATGATACAAAGGTTGCTTTTTCCCAACCACGCTCTTGATGATTAGATTTCTCTCGCAAGACTTCCCTTGCCCCATGTCATAAAATGTGGCAATATTCTAGTGTCGAATGTGAAATTTACAATAAAATTTATTACTCTGTTAAAATCACTGGAATTTAAATAATGAATTCGCTGAAAATGTTGATCGTTTTAAATTGTCTAATAAAGTGAATACTTAAGTGGGGTGCATGCTTAAATGGGAGCTTACTTAAACGGGTGCATGCTTAAATGGGAGGCTACGGTACTGTACTTAGCGTTCATTTGGCACATAACAGACCCGCCATGAGGATCCCTACGGAGAGGCTCGTTTTCGAGCACTGGCACGGTCCTTGCACGGACCTAAGAGCTCTACAGCCTCTGTGGACAGCTGCCGGTTACCACCTGTTACCAAGTCGCAGTCTCTTACTCGTTTCCTGCTTTTGGATGATGGATAGAAATGTGGACGAGGAGGAAATTCGGTGACTTGAAGCCAAAACTCATGATCCTATGTTCGCGCCGACAAGGGACAGAGCTAGAGGTAATAAATGTGTCTATTCAGCGTGCTTTCCATCCGAGAAAGACAATTTCTTTGGTGCAACTACTTCGACAAAAATAAACAAGAAAGTACCTCGGAAAGTTCATCTTCATTGCAGTCCAGTCTATTATAACAACAAAGTCCAGGCAATAAGAGCTAGGACGCCCATGGGGACAACGGTTGCTTCTGCTTACAACCACAGCAAATCCTGTCGTCTTTACGAGGCGTAAGGACGACTACGGAATTGCGGAAGGTCAACCTGAGATCACCATCTGATTCTCGCAATGATTCAGTCTGGCCTAAAAGCGACAACACGATCTCTTCATCGTATACCGTTACAAGTTTTCAGGACAGAGCAATCTGTGGTGATACAAGTAATGCACATTCGACTGTTCAAGCAACTCATTCGACATTCCGCTGTCTAGACGGAATGAAATATGAGTAGCTTGCTTGATGACCTGAAAATAAACTCCTCCTCAGCTCCTTAAGCACATACTGCAGTTTATCTCCGCCAGAATCCATATTCTCGTCAATATTAGCTTCTGGGTGTACTCTCCTACAATCTACAATCTAGATAATTGAATCCCATCTACCCTTAACGATCTCCATCCATTATCAGCATCTGCAGACAGGACTCCAGGTAGAACAACAGACAACTCCCCAATCTCGATAATTGGCATGAATGCGAAGCTTAAATATACAACACATCATATCATAAGGACAAAATAAGGAGAGGATCGCTTCATGTTTGCCAAACTTGCCAAAGAAAGTTCAAACGGGCGACAGATCATGAACATATGCAACAGAAAAGGAGAGTGCAGGTCAAATGTTGTCCTCAATTTTGCTCTTTAGGGTATCTGTCGGCTTCACCAACGCGTGCAATGTGCAATGCAAAGGTGAGCGACTAAAAAGACACTAAACACCCACTTCGAGAGCTTCTCTGACGCAAGATGGATATAAAGTCGTGAAATCTCCTGTTTAGGTGTCCGTAATTGTAAGAATCAAAAATGTTCTGACATGAAGGACGTTACCCCTTGCAGCTTGCCTCGGAAATGGGCATTCTGGGCCATGAAATCCTCTATGATCGAAACCGAAAACTGTTCGCGGGGAGTGTCGACGGCGGGGGAAATTGAATGCTAGATATTTGATCTCACTACATTCTCCGTCATTCTCTTTCGTGTACATGTTGATCGCTGAACGTGAAAAACAATTGGCAGTTTCACGCCCACTTAAAACTCCCATCGCTATGATGATATCAGTAAGTATTAATACACTATGCTCCAAATGGCCCTGACATTCATTCTCAAGTTTTTTCTCCTGTGTGTAGGCTATCCACTCGACGTTTGAAATCCAGCTCTTGCTCGGCTTTGCGCTTTGCTGCTGCCTCCACATCCAGGACTTGAATTGGAAACCACTCCGGAAAATTCCACTTCACAGTTTCCGCCTTGTGCTCCAGGAGTACTTCTTTCTTTGGAACAAGTTCAGGGTTCGAAATCTCGATAAATCGTCTCAAGCGATAATCCTCTAAACGGTTCACCCCATACTGAAGAGTTGTTCCAACCACAGCAAATAGCAAGGCACAAGGGAGTGCTCTGGAAGGACCTCCTTGTAAGCGACCAAGAACACCGCCACTAATGAGCCCTCCAGGCACACAGTTCAACGGGTCATCAGGATCTGCAGCCCTAATTTCTCGAACGAGTTCTTGCGATCCACAAAAGCCCGCAGTAACCAAAGCAAAATTGGTGCTCATGATGCCCATCCATCTAGCATATCCGGCACCTTTGTACACTCCCACACCAAATCCAGCAGCAGCGCCTGCCGCTGTTGCATAAAGAGTTCTGCAGCCGATTCGAGAAGACCAGCCATCGCGGCCAGTGTAGTGAAGTGGACGCCTCCCGATCCCTACCCTAGCATTCTCTTCTCTCCCGGTAAATGAAGGCTCACTGTAATGTCCGGCAAGACCGACAGAAGGAGAAGAATGCGAATGAGAACTGGATGACTCCATAAGCCTCGATCTGGTCTTCGTCCGCAAATTAAGAGTTCTTAAGCAACATTCGGTGATTCAATGAACGTCGATGAGCTCGATCTCATCGAGCATAGTTCCTCAGATGCTATAGTTCTGCAGATGCTTCGGGCACTTCCAGCAAAAAATTGCCTGACATAGTTGCTCCTATTGAACGATCGCTCCTCAACATATCGAGGCAATCGATGGACTGGTCTCGGTTTGAGACACGAGTTCAGGGCCACGGTCAGCGTTCGAATATTTAGTAGAGTTCTCGTATATTCTCACCATAAATGTTCTCGTTGGCTTCGATGTCCACGTCCTTCGTTGAACCTGAATGCTTGTTGGAGTAGGTTTAGCCCAAGACTGAGCACTGTACTCTACTTCCAGTCCCGAGTTGGAAGTGAGCGTTCACGTCTCGTTCATCAGTGATGATTCTCTTCACGCATCTTTGGCCATTTTCTCTTCTGTCACATATCTCTCGAACCACGTATAAGAAATTGCTGGAAAGATGACCAAAGAAATCCAAAGGATGGAAACATCCCCATCAAGCTTAAACAAATATGCAGAAAAGGAAATTTTGATTAGTAGTTAGACTTAATGTTATCATAATAGAAAATATTTACTACGATATACTAACTATATAAATCACTTCAAAAATATCAAAAGCTTAATGGACATCCAAAGACTCATCATCTATGTATAACATTAGCTCATGATATTTGTAAGACATAAAAACACTTCTACAAAAACAGTTTTAACATAAACTTCATCTATTAGACTGTCCCAAACACATGTAAAATCGGAGCTTAGCTTACTATAAACTTTAATGCAATAGCAAAAAATGTGGCATTTCTAAACCGTGCTTTAATAGAAACCCTTGGAATTGAGTACAACACTTGTTGATTACCTATAATTACTTTTCATCATTCTCTCAAACTGGAACCCATGGAAGATCGGTAACGATTGATCTCGTTTGGGAAACTGACAAGATAATTGTTTTGCAAAATGCAACATGGTATACAAAATCATATGTATGTTTTTATTCCAACCCAATGTAATACAAAACGAAACAACGTTATTCTTGATGTTAAGCACATATCTTTAGATGAAGAAAAGTGTTCTTGAAATTTTGAATTGTCTCATTAACACCAAAAGCTTATATAAAATATACTCGTCTTTCTAGTATTTGATTTCTATTACTTCATTATATGAAACCTCTTGTTATTGCTTTTCTGACATCATCACAGTTCACAAAATTCTTACATGATTTCAATACTCACAAAAAAAGTTAATAATTAGATACTAAAAATATCCTATAAGTTCAATGATCCAGATTCTAGCCAGCACTTTTTCATGCTCTATTCTTGAAAGAAAAGTTTTAATATGTCTTGTATACATCTTCAAGTGTTATACCAAAATTATAATAAAATTGTAAATCATATAAACCTATTAGACAACTTATGGGGAGTTGAATTCTTTTCAATTATTATTAGTATTATGAAATACCACATTAACTTAACTACATTCATAATAAAGCAATGAAAATATACATAAATGTATCAAGATAAATCGAATCTTATTCCAGTGTGTAATGAATACATTTTTCAAATGAGACATCTCTAATTCAAGCTATAATTAATATTGAAAAAACTTGTATCATTAGTAGACAACTATCCTATTAGTAGCAGCAAAGTTCAAACCTATTAGAAATACATGTTGAATGATTGCTGAAATATCAAGTCCAATTATAATGCAAAATAGAAAAAGACAGTTCTTTATGTGAAATCTTAATAAATATGTCTTTTTTTATTAATTGTAATCTTAATATCAAAATCATGTATACGTTTTTCATCATGCATCTTTAAGATAAATTATCTACTATCATAAATTCAAATGAGAACTATTTTGTAAGAAAATAAAACTAGTTAGAAATATTACTATTGTTGTATCTTCACATAAACAAGATAGTATTTTAAATGATATGATCCAAATATACTTTTATTGCCATATAAATTGTCATTACTTATGTGCATTTATTTATTTTAAATATCATGTCTTCATGAAAATATACATGATTATTTCATCAGAAAATTTCAAACATGATAAAAATGTGGCCAAAAAGGACAGATAAAAATACATCCGACGGCTAATACAAATGAAATACATAAATTATCAACACTAATGACGCAATAATATTTATATATGTTGCATTGTTATGAAAATTCTTCATCTTTAATTTTTGAACAGACAAAAAACGCAAAAAATGTATTTTGATATTTACGGAAGTGATCTCAAAAATGAATTCCAAATTTGAAGTAGAATATCAAATTTGAAGTAGAATATCATGTTAACATGTTGGATCAAATCTGCCAGGGAAGTTATTTATAAGAAAAATTCAATTAGCAGTGAAATACAAACTCTGCTCAAAGTTTGATTAACAAAATTTGCTCTTTGAAATTTTTATCAATATTGATGAAATTATCGGATAATATATATATATATATTTTTGTTCTCTTTTTTATCTATATATTGGTGGAGCATAAATTAGAGCAAGTAAAATAACTTCTATTTTGTTCTTGACTTTTTTGGTTCAACAATTTTTTTTTTTTGAGCATAATTGATGAATTACATTGCTAGTTTTCTTTTGAATACATTAAAATGGTATCTTAAAAATAAACTTTGGAAATTAATATCTCTATCAACAATAAAAACTTTGCTTAATTCATGATTTTGTAGAAACAACATCTAATTAGAATTAAATATATTATGAAGCTGAACTTATTTTTGTATTTAGCTAAATATGAATCACTTTTTTTTAATTGTTCACAAAATTGTCATCAATATTTTTTCAAAGAGATTTATGATAATTCATAAATAAAACTCATGAAGATATGTTCTACTCGTTGTGTTGACATTGTGAAAGGTTGTATAAATCATCTTGTTATCAATTACTTGATTCATTTTGTTGACAAACTTGTAAAAACAATGCAAGAATCATCTACAAGCACATGTCACAAAAACATCAAAAATCTCAACACACAAGACAAGAGAATAACCACATAACTGATCCAAAATTTACTAAGTTGTTATGTCCTTCAAAGGCAATATGTCTCTTGATCTCACATATCTATGGTTTGCAATTGAAACCCTTGGACTAATTTTAACTTGACAACTAATACTGATTCAAGTTGGAAAAAAAAATTAATCTTAGCAAAACTACACAATTTTGATTATACATATCCATATATTTTCACACTCAATGGATGATAGAACACTTTTCACGCATTTGAATATTTTTTCAAGATATTATTTACCATCACATGGTACGCAATGGCTGTATCATGATAAGCCAACAAAATCATTATGCATAACTTTTATTTTGCAAAATTCATGTACATTGTAGTGAAACATCAAATTTCTTACTTCTTATAGCTTATAATGCTTTCATGATTTTTTCATCTTGTGTCTTATATCTTTTGCTTCACCAGTCAGTTAAATTTTTGCTTTTGTAACATGATATTTATTTCATAGCATTAGCAAGTTGTTTCTTTTTCTACATACAATCTTCATGTTTGTTGAAGCCATGTTGTCATTTTGTGCTTTATTTGTTGATTATATACATCCTTTTGAGTTTCAAGATAAACTAATGATTGATGATCAATTTTCATTTCAAAGTTTGTGTCATTCAAGTAATATGATTTTGACGATGATGATATTAACAGATGATTTTTGTTTAATATAAAATTTCTAATGCTTGAAAAGCTAAGTCATGAGTTGTATTCAATCTTTATTTTTTATTTTATTCTAGCATAGAATTTAAGATATAAGTTGGAGAAGCAAAATCCTTAACAAATTTAGCAAAAAAATTATTAAGCTATGAAAAACATCTGAGCTAATTTTGATCTTCATGTACTAAATAGTTATTACCTTATCAATTGTCATTTTTTATTATTATAACTATATAATCCAAGTAACTTCACATCTGATTTATCAAACTTATATTTTTAAACTTGGACATATGAATTTTTTCAAAAAATTTAAAATGTTTATTGTAAATGATGTATATGATCTTTTTTAGATTTTTCTATATATCAAAATGTTATTTAAAATAATAACCATAAATTTTCATGAAAATTCTAAATGTAGCATATGCATGACATCAAAAATTTGTACCACATATACAAAATTAACATATATAATACAAAAAACAAAGTTGTGATTATTTATCCGCAATGAAAATTTGAGTGTCAATTTGTTGAAGTATTTTGTTTCTGAAACTTCATCAAATACTTCATTCACATAAGATTATGTCTTTTTATTTTTCACTATTTTTCTTATTTGATCGGTTCATAATTTATGATTTTATTATTTTCACAAAAATCATTGATTTTTAACAAATTATTAATTTTTTTATTGATAAAAACTTTTGTTTAATACACTTGAACTTTGCAATCTTTCAATTTGCTTGGAGGCAAATGATATGGAATTTTGCAAATTTGTAAGTCTTAAAATATCATTTCATACTCCTTATCAACACATCTCATTTGAAAATACATCTTTATACTTTATATAAGTTTTTTAAAGAATTTGAAATTTAAACTAAATATTTGGATACAATAATTTTTCTTATAGATTTTAAAAGCAAATATCATCTTTTAAAATTGATGCATCAATCAAAAATAAATTTATTTTGATATTTATTATATTTTTATAATATTTCAACAACATTTTTTAATCACTTTTCATCTTCAATCTATTTTTTAATTTTATGTCTTCATTCATAGTATTTGAAGAATAACATCTTATCAAGATAAACAAATTAATCTTCATTGAACTTTATCTTTATCTCTAGCAATAAATAAATCTAGATTCTCATGATAAAGTCTTTGTTGTTTTAACAATTTAACAATTTCATTTTTTCACTCATGTACTTCATCAACATAGTCTTTAGAATAATTGCAAAAATTTGTGAAATTTTTGTATAATGCTTCATGATTGATCAAAAATTTCACCTTGTGTATTTTTAGTAACCCATCTTTTTTGGTTGGATTTTTTTTTTCCTTTCACAAGCTCTAAAGCACTCTAATCTATTTTTTAAAAAATTAAAAAAATTGATAAGCTTGCAATGCAAGTATTATAAATGCTTTTTGTATTTCAAAATGATTATATTTTCTTTATTCCATCTCATACATATTGTTGAAATGTTATTGCTGCATTGAACGTATTCCTAATTATCTTGATTCAAAATCTCCAAGCTTATTTTTGTTAGATATAACTCAAATGACTTAGAGGTAGATCATTAACATACAG